CACCTGATGGTATATTCCCCTCATAAAAATTGAAGGTGTATGTGAAAGATGTTTTTGAACACTAACTAGAAACACTCAAACAACGCCCTGCAGTATTTCAATGGCAGATCGGCGATATGTCATATTTTTCACACACCTCAAATACACACTAACAATTTTTTTTAAATTATAAAACTATTACTATTACTTGCAAACACCTTTCACCTGATGGTATATTCCCCTCATAAAAATTAAAGGTATATGTGAAAGATGTTTTTGAACACTAACTAGAAACACTCAAACAACGCCCTGTAGTATTTCAATGGCAGATCGGCGATATGTCATATTTTTCACACACCTCAAATACACCCTAGCAAATTTTTTTAGTTATAAAACTATCACTATTACTTGCAAACACCTTTCAACTAAAGGTATATTTCCCTTCTAAAAATTAAACGAATATGTGAAAGAAGTTTTTAGCGATATAATTTAGTCTTTCTTCGCTGTGTACTGAGAATTGAAGCCAGTGAGCTACAACATGCCCACTTGAAACTTTACTACAAAGCTACTGTACTTATACTGACACTAATAACAATTATTTGACTTGAAATGAAGTGACAGAATAGGTAACTTATCTTCTACATGTAGGTTTTCAGTTGTCACAACACTCAGCGTATGTAATCAGCTGTTGAAAATATACCGGGCTAAATCTTAAAAACTACGCTGCCGCCATATTGGCTACACTGGTCACGTGACGAGCCGAGGCATAGCTTAGGAGCTTTCCGAGGAGTGACCACTCCCCCTTATAGAGTCTCCCTGCCAAAACTAAACTCACTCACTCACTTTAAATCAGGTGAGCCACAAATTAAGAGGAATAAAATTTAATGGATTGACTTCTTTATAGCAATAGATGCAATCCATAAAATGTGTTCCTCTTCATCATACCTGCTTCTGACACTTAAAGAGGTGAAGTGAAATTGGGTTTAACGTTGTGCTTGAGAATATTTCGCTCAAATGACAACGTGCATGCGTGTGCATGAATACCCCATTCAGACACATTATACTGACTCCGAGCCGACCAGTCCTTGTTGTACCCATTAATGCCGAGCGCCAGGCAGGGACCAACAAGTACCATAGTTTAAAGGTCACATGCAACCAAAAAATCAAACATAATTAAAACACAATTATCACTTATTCGTGACATATAATATACATTGCTGGTTATGAAAAAACATATAAACAAAATTATAAGCGTACAATCGCAAATCAAAAGTGCAATATTGTGTACTTCGGTTTACTTCCCAAAAAACGAAGCAGCCGGGATACCGAACCCAGTCAGAGCGGGTGGGTGTGCACTCAAGTGTAACGGCTGGTTCATTTGCGTATGCCCTCACGGTGTGTATATGTAGAGATGTTGGGTTTTGTAAATACATGCTCATTTTTTGTGTATAACATTTTGCAATCAACAGACATCATAACATGTCAAGTGTTCAACTATCACACCTGCCTGTCTGTGTAATTACATAATGTGACAGAGAAGCATGAATACCCCATTCAGACACATTATACTGACTCCGAGCCGACCAGTCCTTGTTGTACCCATTAATGCCGAGCGCCAGGCAGGGACCAACAAGTACCATAGTTTAAAGGTCACATGCAACCAAAAAATCAAACATAATTAAAACACAATTATCACTTATTCGTGACATATAATATACATTGCTGGTTATGAAAAAACATATAAACAAAATTATAAGCGTACAATCGCAAATCAAAAGTGCAATATTGTGTACTTCGGTTTACTTCCCAAAAAACGAAGCAGCCGGGATACCGAACCCAGTCAGAGCGGGTGGGTGTGCACTCAAGTGTAACGGCTGGTTCATTTGCGTATGCCCTCACGGTGTGTATATGTAGAGATGTTGGGTTTTGTAAATACATGCTCATTTTTTGTGTATAACATTTTGCAATCAACAGACATCATAACATGTCAAGTGTTCAACTATCACACCTGCCTGTCTGTGTAATTACATAATGTGACAGAGACCGAACTCGGGCCATAAATCAATGCATTTTGTTTATGGTGTATAGCTTGATTGGTGTTAAGTTCAAATTGCATGTGGTCAGTGATAGCAGCTGTGTATTAAATATTGTCATTAGCAGACAGGCAGGCAGACACACAGGTGTCAATAAAACAAGACATTCAGTTTTGTCTGTGACAACGACATATCTATATCACAGTTAGAAATTCTGTCAACGCTAAATAATGACATTGCTTTTAAGTATCGAACTGAGAAAGTGACTCGGTAAGAAGAACGTGTGGTGAAATTATATAAACAGTTAATTTACTGTCATGACATATAAAAAAGCTCGCGCCTGTGAGATATCAACAAAACATTAGAAAAATAGCTCACACCAAAGCCTTCACCGAGTATTCACCGGACAACCCGCTTCCAAGCTGCGTGAACCTATTTCACTGCGCACGTGCTATGAGCGCAGCCCAGCTGTTGAAACCCGTCGGGGGAAAATTAGTGAAACGTTTGAACTCCGATTTCGCGCTTTTTTTTTTCATCGCATTATTTTTCAACTTTATAAGTTGAATTTGCGTTTTTGACGATTTGTTTCGGTAAGTCCATACCGAAAGGTATCAGAATCTGCAAAGTTGTGTTTTACGTTGCATGTGACCTTTAACGTATTTTGGTATGACTCGGTCGGGGATCGAACCCGCGACCTTCAACTCTCTGGGCGGACGCTCTAACCACTACACCACGGAGGCAGTCGACACTTGAAGAACGAGCAACACATAAATAAAGTCGAACCATTATTTCTATACATAACACAAGGTATAGATGAATTCCAGAATTTAATTTTCAATTCCTGATAGTACATGTATCTGTGGAAGAGGATAACTTGACAGTTTAAGATACTCAGATTGGGAAGTCAAACATGCAACTTCTGAACTCTACAATCTGTAACACACAACAACAAAATATCATATCGCATAACAAAGAGTTCTTTTATGACCCATGAAAACTTAAACAAACTCAGATGAGTGAGTTGGGTTTTACGCCGCTGTTAGCAATATTCCAGCAATATCACGGCAGGGGACACCAGAAATGGGCTTCACACATTGTACCCATGTGGGGAATCGAACCCAGGCCTTCGGCCTGACGCTTTAACCACTGGGCTACCCCACCGCCCCCAAAATCAGATGAATCTTAGTTGATGTGCATTCATATTGAAAATAACCAATAGTCTGAATAGTAGACCCAAGACCAACAATAGTTTTCAACTAATGTCCACCCTCAAAAGTTCACCCTCCAATAGTTTGATTGTCCTGCAACAAATTGTTGTGTTTATGTCATGACTGATTATGATCCCTAGTAATAGGTAAGAAGAGCATCTTTTCACAGAAAAGACTGACTGACTGACTGAGTTTGGTTTTACGCCACTTTTAGCAATATTCCAGCAACATCACGGCGGGGGACACCAGAAATGGGCTTCACACATTGTACCCATGTGGGGATTCGAACCCTCAGAGAAAAGACACCATGATGGACACATCTACTGGAGGACATAATTTTGAATGCCCATGACAACATAGAAACAATCTCCCCCGACTTCTTAACAACATAAAAGTCGGTCCAGTATCAATGCACATGTATATTGGATGGGACATTAGTCACGCATAGTTTGAATGGGTTTTTGTTTTAAGTTGAACATGGTCTTTAAAATCATGATTATTTTTGTCAAAAGACCTTGAAACAGCCAAAACAACAAATAAAAAAATAATCATGACCTTTATTTTCCTTATCCTACCGATAGTGGTTAATCATTGCATTCTGATAATACACATTCTGTATAATTATCATTATACATGATATTCAGTTTACAAAATTTATTATGCAGTCCAACATTGTTTTTGTCCAATGGGAACTAACCCATCTTACACTGGCTCTGCATATATGGGCAATCGCTGGAGGGACTATCTATCTAGAATAGAATAGAATAGAATAATACTTTAATGCCTTTTCAGGAAATTGTGTTACATCAGCAGAGCTACTGACACATCAGAAAGATACAAAACATATTTACATAAATTCATTGATTTAGGTATCTTCACATTTGTTCAAGAGAGATGTGGTACTTGGAATAAAGGATGTACCGGCTCTCTTAGTTTTCACAATTGGAACTTTGTAGCGGCGGCCTGAAGGGAGGAGGTTGTATTCCGCGAATTTAAGTAGTGAGTATGGTCAGATATGATTTTGACAGCTTGATTCACGATTTGCCGCTCATATTTTGATGATAAACATTCAAATCTGACTCCAGCAATTTCACTTGCAGTGTTAACAATTTTGTCTATTTTAGATTTGAGATGAACTGAGAGAGACCCGTACCAACAATGGAAGGAAAATGTTAAATTACTCTGAATAAATGCTGCATAAAAAGATGACATCACAGATGAGTTAACATTAAAAGATCTCAGTTTACGCATGAGATGAAGACGTTGTTGACACTTTTTGTATAGGGCTTCAGTGTTAGAGTTCCAGTTCAGCTTAGAGTCAATGAAGGTTCCCAGATACTTTTACTCCGACACTGTCTCAACACATTCACCGTTGATTATCACTGGAAGCATTTCTGTGGGCATCTAGTATCTAGGACTCCAGTCTCCAAATACCAATTGGTCCAAAAGTATCATGTCCTTAACTGTAATTGGTTTAAAATCATTTTTCATTAGACTCTGAAGTTACCCTGATATTCCACTTAGTGCAATAATGTAAAATTTAGCGTTAACTACAATTGCTCTTTTTTTCTGCAGTTATCACTCTGTTGGCTATAAGTCCCCTTGAACAAGCTCCATTAGTTATGGCTACATTAGTGAGTGAGTGAGTGAGTATGGTTTTACGTCGCATTTAGCAATATTCCAGCAACATCACAGCGGGGGACACCAGAAATGGGCTTCACACATTGTACCCATGTGGGGAATCGAACCGGGTCTCGGTGTGACGAGCGAAAGCTTTAACCACTAGGCTACCCCACCGCCCCTATGGCTACATTAAGATTTAATCATATATAATTACAATTCTGGATATTCTTTTTTTAAAATTCCACAGACTTTGGCTCCTGACCAGTTCTAGAACAATCACTGCATTTGCTGCTTTACTGAAATACATGATTCCCCAGAAGATGATGATGTGGATCACATGCATAACAAAAGACAAATATAAACTTGACAAAGCTCAAATAAATATCATTTGATAATCTTGGTAAGAGACTGTTATAAGAAATATCATGCAAGTGCAACTGTACTAATGAACAAAGAAAGCCACACACCAATAAAAATACATTCTGGAATCTGCAAAACGTAATTGTGGGAGAGTTGTCTCCCTTTGCATAGTCACACCCATTTGCTGTGGTACATTCTGGCTTTGGTTTGGTTCATAACAGGATTCATCACAAATACAGCTGGGAGCATTAAGGATGTGGTTGTTTTGTTCCATACACACGAGTATTGATAAATGTACCAGATTTTCATATTTATTCATGTTATTCAGAATTTGAAGGAAAAGGCAATAGGTGAGACCATTTTGAACCACAAGAAAAAGAAAAATTATTTTTCATAATGAAGGTATGTTCAAATAGCAGACATCTTAACTTCTGGCATGTTCACATACACAAGCATTATTAAAATGAATGAATGAAGCTCTGACAAAGATGATATTTTCGATAAGTTAATCTTCACCTCCTCTGAAATTTAGCATGGACAACATTTTTACAAACTATTCACTGAAAACCTCACAAATCAATTTTGCAACACCTAAAGTGTAACATATAAATTTAGCTTTGTCAGAACTACGATGCAAGCAGATTGCATAATTCTAGTTTTCATTCATTTGAATACTTCTTACTTCTTACATCAAAATACATTTCTAGAGTTTTTACATATTTGTTACAATACTGTAGATCCTGTGGTCCAAAAATTCCTGTTATCATATCTTGGCTTGTTATGTGGCACAAGTCTCTAGTCCAGTAGGGCTGGGACGGGTTCAAATTTTCTACCACGGTACTCCACCCCCTATTACCCTACCCTACGCTGATACCCTTTATATTAATTCCTGACATCAAATTTGTATGAAATGGCAATATATTCTTCCGCTTGGAGGCTAAAATTTGAGTTTTTCAATATCTTAACCATGTACTATATTCAAAACAGGTGACTGTAAATTATGTCTAAATCTTCAAAAACAATACAACCTTTTAATCATGAAAGAGTGACTGACTGAGTTTGGTTTTATGCTGCTTTCGGCAATTTTCTAACAATATCATGGCAGGGGACACCAGAAATGGGCTTCACACATTGTACCCATTTGGGGAATCGAACCCGGGTCTTCAGCGTGACGAGTAAACGCTTTAACCACTAGGCTACCCCACCGCCCCAACTGTGCATGGAGCCCAGGTCACTAATGAGTTGAAGTTAAGCAACAATGGAGGCGGACAGTCCTTAGATGGGTGACCGTGTTTGGCAGCTTGACTCTAGAGAGTTTCTCGGACTTCAGTCCTGCCCCACATCGAAGCACAGGTGACACATGTAGTCTCACCTTAGCCAAGTGAGTTTGTTTATGAATTGTTTACCCAGCAGTGAGTGGGTACCCAATGGGATAAGTCCTTCTAGCGCCTCAAAGGCAGCTTGGGCTATCCAGGATAATCAGTGTTAGCACCTTGAGCATGCACAAGTAATAATAATAATAATAATAATAATAATGTCACTTATAAAGCGCAAATGTCCACACACTTATGAATGCTCAATGCGTGGATACAGGTGTGTGGATACAGGCACTTTAGAAATGACCATTATTTTATTATTCAACTCAAGTCTTTGGCAGTACTCTAACACAGACACAGGACTCATAACAGAACTAATTTGGATACAAAGAATCAGTTCAAGACAATGGAGACCCATCACTCATCCCACATCAATTATTCTCCTGCTACAGCTGCTGAGCAAACAGACATGACTATAGTCTGTTTGCAGCGAAAACGTACCAATGAATTTCACTTTAAAAAAAAAGTAAATCAAATAAAGTGAAATTAAGATTGCGAATCCTCATAATTTTACCTTGCCAATTGAACATTTAAATCTCAAAATTTTATTCAAATTAGGATAAAAGTTGTTTAACAAACGATCATAGATTCAAATCGCTAATACTGGTTTGCATTGCAATGGGGTAAGCGCAGTAGTTGGAACAGTGAAACAAATGCATGTGCAGTATGTGAAGAGCGTTAACTTATAACAACCCTTGTCGTTTTCGGTGTTTCATTTGATGTGCATACCCTCTTGTAATACAAACCAACAATAGCCATGCGAGACTATGATCGTTTGTTAAACAACTTTTATCCTAAGTCGAATAAAATTCTGAGATTTAAATGTTCAAATGGCAAGGTAAAATCATGAGGATTCGTAGTCTTAATTTCACTTTATTTGCTTTACCTTTTGGTTTAAACTGACATTCATCGGTACGTTTTCACTGCAAACAGACTATAAAGGATAATGTAGCAATTACCCATGTAAAGGAATGATCAGACCATCTCAGTTGAGCTTCCATCACAATGCAATCATGAATATGTGAAATCAATAAATTAAGAATAATCATGAATAAAGTGAAACTTGTTATCTCGAAGTTCCTGAGCTAGTACCAAGCTATAACACATATCAAGTTGTTGAGAGTCAATACAAGGTAATAATATATAGTTATTAAGGCTGGCTAAAATGATCAATAATCAGAAATATCATCAATAGGAAAAACTATAAATAATTATCAATTTAAAAAATATCGTACATTGACTTTTGTGACAGAAAAGTTATATAAATTTAGGACTTTATTCATGGCCTGCTTCTAAATTATGTTCAGGACGCTGTTTTGTTAATAATCCATGTAAAACATGTCACCACTCACCAGTGATATGAAATATGTTAATTTCTTTCAGACATTTTTGGCATTTTTGCTCAAAGTTACGTCTCCAGTATTCATCAATAATTGATCAATATTTAGTTAACAAGTATCAATCTCTATGATCAATATTGATAGCCAGCTCTATTAGCAATATACATAAAACTTCAGTTAAAATAGATTATAAGCCATGTGTTTCATCAATATCAAATATTAGGAATGCAATGTGTATTGTGTGAGCCTGTGTTAGAATATGTACTTTTCACTGAACATCATTGAATATATGGCATTTATGGTATGGAAATGCAGGTAATAACAAATATATCAAATAAATACATTCTTAAACCAACTGACATAACCAACCACTTAAGTAATGTAAATAAACATCCCAATTTTCAAATAACTGAATTGACTGGCAGCCATTTTGTTTACAGAAATATGAATAAATCACAGTCTAAGTAAACTTAGACTCAGTATTATTCGTTACACTGCTATACTGAGTCTAACAAAACCTTGTGGAAGGTCGCGTCAGGTAACCTTTGAGCGACCTATGACCGTCCAATCAAACGCGGAGACGGACGAACGGATTTAACCAATCAGACAACAGCTACTATTTAGGGTTTGGCGGGACTTACAAAATGGATTTTCTCTTCCCGTTCGCCAACACTGATCTCCCAACAAATGAAAATTGCATAAAACACAGATATTTGCCCTGCAGTATATACGCTTTGGGGTTTCTGTTGACATGGCTATCATTAGCTAATGTTTCAGCTAGCTGACATGCTTGACTACTGACAAAACGCTATTTTCAGCGACTGTTTACTCACTTCTGTGGCGTGCCTCACTAGGAACCGATCGTACGGAAAATAGCATTCGGAATCGTTCGGTACAAACTTTTTGGAGGTAAAAGTTCAAAAGGTATGTGCGAATGTCAACTTTCGCGATTTGGTAAGCTGTGTTCTGATTGGTCAATTGAAAAGGTTATCTGACGCGACCTTCCACAAGGTTTTGTTAGACTCAGTATAGCAGTGTAACAAATAATACTGAGCCTAAGTTTACTTAGACTGGAATAAATCAAATTGTAATACAGGCAACCACAGACATTGTTTAGTATCCTGCATTAATAATTAAGCATTAATGTACAGAGCTTACCATAGTTCTTGGGTGACCTCATTTGCATATTCATTAGATCCTGATTCTTGCATCAGACTGGATTACTGCATCGATAGTGCTATAGCGAGTGAGTGAGTTTAGTTTTACGCTGCTACATGTATTAGCAATATTCCAGCAACATCACGGCAGGGAACACCAGAAATGGGCTTCACACATTGCACCCATGTGGGGAATCAAACCCGGGTCTTCAGCGTAACGAATGAACACTTTTAACCTCTAGGCAACCCCATCGCCCCAATAACACTATACTTGACAGGGAGGACGTCAATGTGGTGCTATTTTCTTTTAGGGAATATTCCAACAAAACAATGATGGGGACACTAGAAATGGGTTTCAAACACTGGATCTAAGTTTGGAATCAAACCCAGGCTAGAGAACACTTTAACCACACAATACCTGTCCACTACACAATAAACATGGTTACAGTACATAACGATGTATCAGGTCACAAATGAAGTTCGAGTTAACAAAGTTTCACTGTACATAAATAACAAACTGAACCATTCACCAGTCAATAATAAATTTATAAATATACAAAAACAAATTTACAGACCACAATCCAATCAAAGTATTCATATGCACAAGCACATAGACATTGGGTAAGCATGCAATTTAAGCGGCCTATATTTTCCTCTTCCAATCAACACTATTATGGGTACAGTAGGATTGAATTGGAAGCGTCAAAGATGGCTAATAAAGCCATACCATGGAACCACTGCCACTATCATACATATTTAATACTTGTTTGCTGAAAGATTGACTAACCCTATAATCAAACATAAGCATTTATGAAAACAATCATTTTGTGTGCACCCATTCGTAACTTTTTACCCTCAAAACTTAAAACATGACTTTAAAATTATGGAATCACCAAATGGAAACATTTGTTAAAAGATCATAAGTGGATGGGACATTGATTGCAAACACTACTGATTCTAAACGATTCCAAAACAGTGTATGTTCAGGGAATCACAAATGCTTACAAGAGGGAGATTAGCAACCGATGGGTAACCTTCCCTAGCAAATCTGATCCTAAGAATACAAGAGGGTTGGTAATCAGTGAAGCCACAGATGGAGCCACATGCAGCCACAGATGGAGCCACATGGAGCCACCGCCACACATGGAGCCACACACACATGGAGCCACACATGGAGCCAATCAGAGCAAAGCTGCTGGGTCTGATAAACACCAGTCTTGCAGCAATTTGCTTTCTGGCCTTTTATGAAGACATGTTCATAGGAAGCCTTGTCATCTTGACAGAAGCTTTCACACGGTGTCAGCTTGCTGATAAGAAGACCATTAGTTGAACGTTATCAGTGAACAACCTTCATTAACATCATAATTATGCATCATGATAATAATCATGATAATACATAACAGACTGATCATCTCTGTTGATAAATTAATGTTTCTAACATTATGTGTTTCGCATTTCAGCCCATCCAAAATTCTATATTTTCTCTCCTCATTTTTTCTTTTCTATATTAAAAATAATTGCTTGCAGATGACTGGTTTATCTGAGATGAAACACACTAAATTTAAGCTGGTGGCAGATTATATAGAACATCTATGGTTCAATTTGATAAAAAGAAGACAAAGTAGATTAGAGCAGGGAGTTCCAGATAAGGGTCAGTTCAATAACACAGGTCTGTTTTGTCTAACTATATAACTCAAGATTCAGCCAATCAGATCACACCACACACTTCCATTCTTTCTACACTGCTATCTGGGATCTGCACACCGTTAAACATACTGGAGGGTATGGCAGGTACTAGCTATCTGGTTTAATATCATGTCCATGTTTGGGGACAACTCTGACTGCTTCCACTAATATTCCGACTATATACAGGAACAAGGTTGAATATATGTTGCTCTGTCAGTACTTCAGACAGACAAAAAGGGTAGGGAATGGCCAAGATGATAGTGCTGAGTAGTGGTGACAGTAAGTAATTTGGTCACACATACCAACATCATCCAAATCTCACTTAACAATATCTTAACACAGCATTTCATCAACATATTGTAAGGGACTCAACATAATTTAAGGCTAGGGGGTGATGTTGACTTTAACTTTAAAGGTGGGGTCACCTATTTTGTTCTGGGGGAGATGTGTGTGTGGTGGTGGGGATTCATGCATGTACTAGGGGTGTCATGATTTTGTACGTGACATGGGGGGGAGAAGGGGGGGGACTAACTTGAACATAAATTTTAGGGGTGGTCATTCACATTGTACATGCTACTCCGTAAAAATCATCATCCTCATCATCCCTAGCTAGTTAATGAATGGTCCCTAACCAAGAGTTGAGAACATACAAATTGTGGCCAGGTAATTAAAATAATGTTTGAAATGCTACATATGCCTTGTAATCGAATGGAGTATCTAGGATAAGGCATGGACAGGTCTAAATAAGTCATTTACAAAGATAATAAAACACTTTCTAGGAGTCGACAAAATACAGTAGATCTTGTTTGTAAATAATCAAAACATTCTGAAACGTGAAGGTCTCAAACAGTGAGATCAAGTGAGAGAGCACCAAATCAAATACATGCTAATGCTAGTATCTCAGCTGAAGGGAGGAAACCTGGAACATCTGAAATTCTTTACAAACAAGTGATGTGTTGGATAAATCCAAGAATTTAAATCACCATGGTAACCTGACAACAAATTTAACACATGTAACAATGTAACACTCAAACTACATGATGGCATGCAGAACCTCGACAACTCACAGAACAATGAATTGTCTATTATCATCATCATCACAGTCTTCTTCATCATCATCATCATCATCATCATCATCATCACCACCACCATCGCTGTCATCATTATCTTGTTCATCATCACCATCATCCTGATCTAGTTCATCATCAAGTCCTTTATCATATTCATCATCATGGTCATTATCATCATCATTAACATCACGATGCTACACTGATTTGCTTCAGAGACAACACTTTATAAATTATATAACACAAATCATATAACATGATATATTTTTTGTTGAAATTTGTCATGATTTCCCTTCTCTCTGGCACAATGATTGCGAAAATAACTTGCTTCATACATACACGACTCAAACTTTATTGTCCTACAAAATGTACGAAATAATACCTCTCAGACCATGAGGATGAAGATGACGAACCTAAAAGTACAAACTGGATGAACATGATAAATCTAGGATTCAAACCCAGGACCATAGATACCTGCTACACCAAAGGGACACAACTCTGCAGAGCCACTTACACAGGGATTTATCACACATTCTACACGAGGTTCCCGTGGCAGACATATTGGAAAACAGTCTTCTTTTTTCTAAAATTGGTGTTTTGTTTGTTTAATCATGCTATTTCTGACAAAAGTGCTCATGCTGCATTAAGTGCATTATTGGCTTAAGAATTAATCTCATTCATCTATATTAGTTATCAGTTATATTCTTGTAAACTCTACACAGTAATTACATCAATTAGTGTGTTTGGTTTTATGCCACTTTTAGCAATATTCCAGCAACAACACAGGGGGGGACACCAGAAATGGGCTTCACACATTTTACCCATGTAGGGAATCGAACCCAGGCCTTAGGTGTGACGAGCGAACGCTTTAACCATAGGCTAATCCACCGCCCCTCATTACATCAAATAAACTGTATCAACACAAACTGAGATATGGTTAATTCCAATTTGGAGATTTCATGGATATTGCTGCAGACTTGTGCCCAGCACTGGCCTCTGAGCAGGTGAAGATCAATCCTTGCTACAGCACTATGTCAGAATTCACCCTCGGTAGAACTAATCCTGACTTGCTAACTAGACTCACATCACAACCAAAATTAGATAGGGACAGCGTTATCCACAGAGATGTATCAGGGTTGTCAAGGTGACCAGCATGCAGAAGACTCACTCAACCTCACAACGACTGTATCAAAGCAAGAACATCAGATTTTAAATAGTTCCCTTCCTGCGTTTTACCCTTTTGGGCAGTGATCTCCGCCATGACAGTAGGGTCCCATGAAAAGTTCACAACAGCTGCTGGTGCCAATCCTGCTTCGGCTATTGTCAAAGCATCATCGGTCAGCTTGTGCCCAGATGAGGTAATAAGCTGGAAGGGCATCCAATCTTCTTCCAGGTTCTCACGAATGAACTCACGAACTGCTTGCAATTTCTCAACAGTCCTGAAAGTCCCTTGCAACAGAATTCCATTCGGGAATTTAACTCTAAGTAAAGCATAACGGTACCGTCGAAGCTCACGCTGTTCGTCCCTCTCTCGCATAGCTTTTGTTCGGAGCATGCCCAGCTTCTCAACAGCATCAGTCTGTCGCTGTTGCTCTTTCTTCAACTCCTCCGGTGTAATGTTGTAAAACTCATCAGGAATAACGAACTTGGATGCGGAACCTGATGCATGAAATACTCTCAAACATCGGTCAAGCTGAGGCCTTAAAGGTTCTGCAGCTAGCAAAACTTCTTTCAGATTTTTCAGCCTTTCTTCTTCTTTGGTCTCCTCAGTGGACATGACATAGAACTGTTCTTCATGGTCTTCAAGTGGAAGCGTTACAACGTTGAACCTCGCTGACTGAAGGAACTCATGAGTTCCCTCCAAACTGGCTACCCTCTCCTGGAATGCTTTATTGTTGACCCGGATCTTGCTGTACTTCTCCTCCCCTGGGTGAGCAATGATGTTGTCAATGTACTTCAGGAGGGTATCGATCCCGACCTTCACCTTGTCCTTGTTCTTGTTGAGGGTGTGGATCATGAGGGCTGAGGTCATTTCGGGCTCCTCCACTAGGCTCCCCAGGAGGTACTCGTGGATGTACGCTTCCATCTCCATCTTGGTCAGGACGACGGGGCCGATCTCCGGCACTTAAAGAGGACTTCAGAGAGCACTGGGGCAGAGTCCTTGACTACTGTGGTGGGTTCTGCTCTGTACCCTGCTCCTGCGGCCTCTGCCTCTGCAATAGCTTTCTTCTCAGCCTCCATCTGCTTCTTCATCCTGACTCGTGCCAACTGGAAACTCTGATCATCTGAAACAATGAGTGAGTGATGAAGTGAGAAAATGATGAAGTGAGTGAAAGATACAGTGAGTGTTTATGTGAGTGATGAAGCGAGCAAGTGATGAAGTGAGTGAAAGATGTAGTGAGTGTTTAAGTACCGTATATTACCGTAGATAAGCCGAATTTTGAGGACCAAAAAGCTACAATAAGTATGATATTTAGCGAAACAAAATATATTATCCATTTTCTGTCAACTACACTTCATTTAGATGCGTGAGTAGACGCAATATGATTGTGAATTCTTTGAATAATGTGGACCAAAGTTATAATTATCGGTAACTGCCAGTTGTCTGTGGTCTGTGTTTGCCCCGATTGCCCCGGCTAAGGGCCCCGGCTATGTACGAAACATACCATTTTGACACTGATTTTAAGGGTCAAGTTTGGGGGTTGGCATATCTATGGGGTCGGCTTATCTACGGTAATATACAGTAAGTGATGAAGCGAGCAAGCAATGAAGTGTGTGAGAGATGCAGTGAGCGTTTAAGTTAGTGATGAAGCATGCAAGTGATGAAGTGAGTGGTGAAAGATGCAGTGAGTGAAAGATGCAGTAAGTGAAAGATGCAGTGAGTGAAAGATGCAGTGAGTGTTTAAGTGAGTGATGAAGCATGCAAGTGATGAAGTGTGTGATGAAGTGAATGAAAGATGCAGTGAGTGAAAGATACAGTGAGAGTTTAAGTGAGTGATGAAGCATGCAAGTGATGAAGTGTGTGGTGAAAGATGCAGTGAGTGAAAGATGCAGTGAGCGTTTAAGTTCGTGATGAAGCATGCAAGTGATGAAGTGAATGAAAGATGCAGTGAGTGAAAGATACAGTGAGTGTTTAAGTGAATGATAAAGCATGCAAGTGATGAAGTGAGTGGTGAAAGATGCAGTGAGTGAAAGATACAGTAAGTGAAAGATGCAGTGAGTGAAAGATGCAGTGAGTGAAAGATACAGTAAGTGAAAGATGCAGTGAGTGAAAGATGCAGTGAGTGAAAGATACAGTAAGTGAAAGATACAGTAAGTGAAAGATGCAGTGAGTGAAAGATACAGTAAGTGAAAGATGCAGTGAGTGAAAGATGCAGTGAGTGAAAGATGCAGTGAGTGAAAGATGCAGTGAGGAAAGATGCAGTGAGTGTTTAAGTGAGTGATGAAGCATGCAAGTGATGAAGTGAGTGGTGAAAGATGCAGTGAGTGAAAGATGCGGTGAGTGAAAGATGCAGTGAGTGAAAGATGCAGTGAATGAAAGATGCAGTGAATGAAAGAAAGATTAAGTGAGTGATAAAGCATGCAAGTGATGAAGTGTGTGATGAAGTGAATGAAAGATGCAAAAAGAGAGTGTTTAAGTGAGCAAATGAGAAAGAGAGTGAATGACATTGAGTGAGTAGGGTTAATATCACTTTCAGCGCGATTTCTGTTTTATCATGGAATGTCATCTTAATATGGGAGGGGGGAAAGCCTAAAGTGATGCAGGTCACAGACATTTTACACTTCCTTGAATCCCACGAGTGTAACAACAGCGATTGCAGCTGACCACGCCCACTGGCTTGATTGAATGGTCCAAGGGAGACAACTCTAAAATAAAGTCACTCTCTAGAAAAGCTATGCAGCTGTTGTGTTGTCTGTGGACGACGGTCATATGCATGCTCCAAGACAGCAGATATTACAACGAGCATGTATAGTGAGTGAGTGAGTATGGTTTTACGACGCTTTTAGCAATATTCCAGCAATATCATGGCAGAGGAGACCAGAAACCACTTGGCTACACCACCGCCACCTGAGCATGTACAGAGTGCTCAGAAACCTGGAAACATAATCGGAGAAAACATGATTTGAACCAACAATCACAGATTTCTAATGTTTCCAGGGGACACAACTCTGCAGTGAATAGCGGCACCTTAAACAATTATGTGATCTGTGCCGTCTGTTCACTTGGAAAAACAAAATGTGTTTCTGTATCTGCAATGACCTGCATTTCATTTCCCAAAATGAATCCCTAACCTCAACAAAATGCTTCAAGAGTGGATGGTGGATACTAAACCAACCTTGAACAGTCTTTTCTGTCTCGAATCTGGCAAGAGCCGCTTCACCAGCTCTCTTTGCATCTGCCGTGGTTTGAGGTCGGTTTGAACTGGAGGCGAACATCTGCCCAGTTGGTCTTGGGGCAGGGTGTCTTTCCTCGGTCAGCTTGTGACCTTCTCCTGCCTTCTTAAACTTCACATCTAGCTTCTTCTTCTGGAAGAATCTCTTGATGGCTGCCATTGTCAGTCTTTGGTTCAACCTGCTGGTAAATGTGGGAAGAGTTACTTCTATACTCTAAAAAAGTAAAAAGATATAGAAAAGTTTTATAACAATGTAAAGACACTAGTTTCAAGTATAGCTTTCAAGTTTCATAGCTCGAAGACAATAAAGAACTAATTAACTGGTAATGAAGTATGACCGCCCAACTATCTTGAAGGTAAGATGAGTGATTTCGAAGTTGATGATATGTACATGGCTGCACAACACGAGGCAGTCGTACATAAAGATGATCTGCAAGTGGAGGATTTCCAATTGTCTGACCCGTTACTTGTACTGCAGTTCCTAAATAAAGTTTTCATCAATTCTACTTTCCCTTTGAGCTCGATTAGTAAGAGCCTTGTTCTGTATCAATCGTCGTTGACCTGGGATGCAGGGCCAATTGTCAACATTTGAGTCACGAACTGTGCAACACTGAACATACTGCCATACGGACTTCTGCCAGTTTCTATCCTGACAAGAACCCATAAATGCTCCACACATTGCAGATGGCACATGTCATTGTATGTCAATTGTGTAAATTGATGCTCATGATGTTGATCACTCGACTGCCTGGTCCAGACTCGATTATTTATAGACCACCATCATACAGCTGGAATATTGCTGAGTGCGGCGTAAAACTAAACTTACTCACTCACTCCCAGATGGTTCATTCACATTTCTGGTTCATTCACAAGCAGTTAATAAAAGTCAATTAAGTCAATGACAACTGTATAATAAGCTGAATCAGTAAAAACAATAGTGGAAATAGCCAAAAATAATGGTCCAGGGGAATTGACTGACCTTTACTGATAGCATCAAAATCAGAAATGGCAGGTCATGAACGACCACGTTTGCTGCACTACTGCTTGTGGAATGTACCAACTATAGGAAGTATTACAGATAGCGCTGGAGCAATTGATTAAATAATCAGTTACCCGGTAATTGATCCATCTCGCTTGCATCAGTGATTATTAATCACTGAGGAGACCAAATGATGTTCACACATAATGAAACATCAAATCAAACAATAGAAAGTATGTTTCTAACTGTTATGTTAAATCAAGACATAAACAACTTTTTCCTGACACGTAATACTACAATGTAAACAAGTCAACAGGAAGTATCCTCGATCATCTTGATCGTTGCGTTAATCAGTGCCTGTTTTAGCTGCACAATGTTATGATTGTGTCCCATTATTGCCAACATGAAGTTTGTGGTGGGGTGCATGATCACAATCTGTTATTGATCGAGGACTCGGCTCCAATTATCAACCTGCAAACTGTGAGTGATAACCAGTACTAATTACAGGACGTATTTTGTGATCGGTTTTACAGTTTTGCATCTACTGACTGACTGACTGAGTTTGGTTTTACGCCGCTTTTAGCAATATTCCAGCAACATCACGGCGGGGGACACCAGAAATGGGCTTCACACATTGTGCCCATGTGGGGATTCGAACCCGGGTCTTTGGCGTGACGAGCCAACGCTTTAACCATTAGGCTACCCCACCGCCCCTTTGCATCTACAGACATTAACGTTTATGCAAAGGATATTTATCATCAGCATTTATATTAGTTCAAATACTTAGTTTTAACATATGTATGTCATGATCCCCTACTTTTGTAAGAGTATAGGTCAGATCCAGACGTGTCACTCTCTTTTCATATGGTCATTATCTGACTCTCTGCGTTCTCTTTCCCGGGGAATGGACTGACTGCGGCCTGAAACAAAGCAACATAAGCGAGTCAAGACACCAATGTTGACAGAAAGAGATACCTGTCTTTAAAAGAAAACAATTATTTTAATTTAAAATTTGTACAGTTCTGCCTTATACCTCTTCCAAATATGATTTACAAACCATGAATGTAAAAAAGCATGAACGTTTATCATGTTAAAATCACTCATATTATACAGCTTACAGTTTGTGTGTTAAACATTTGAGAGTACTATCTCAACCCTGGCTCCTTGCATAATTTTCAGTAAAATCTAGTATTACTATACAGACGGTTATTAGCTGAGCTTACTAGACCAAACAGAATTTTACTAGACCCTGGCTTTGGTCTAGTGGTTTAAGTTGCTGACTCAGCATACTGCTGCCACCTAAAATAGGAAGTTATATGCACTTCCAGTTCAACCAGAGTCAAAAGTGAAGAGACATTATTCGTGACCACTAGATCAAATATTCATGAATTTTAGAAAGGGGTGTTTTTACTTGAATTTGGGTGTTATTCATCAAATGAGATGTACAAAATGGAATATATCCAAGTCAGGCAGAGTAATAGTCAACATTCTTAGATATAGTAATAGTAATAGTCCGCTTATATGGCGTTCATATCCAGGCACATTGCCTGCTCACGGCGCTACGTACATTTACTATCCCCGGTCATAGGACACAATCGTACTTTCCGATACTCCCTGGGGATCATACAGCCATGCTGCCTGTTAGGCGCAATGAACTTAACACTCACATTGCCAGCACATCCTCACAGGTACACATTTTACAGCTGGGTGAACTGAGACAATGTGGATCTAAGTATCTTGTCCAAGGTTACTACGCAAATGTGCCCACCTCGGGACCCGAACCTAGGTGCCTCCACCGGGGATCGAACCCAGGCCTTCAGCGTGATAGGCAAAAGCCTTACCACTGCACTACTGCGCTCCACGCAGTATCTTGTATAACTTGACATTAATGTGGTCACTGGTCAGTGTCATTATGAATTAACACCATCAACATGGTCAAAACATATAAAAAATCTATTTTGTTATTGTTTCACTGAATAACGAATAACACATCAACTGCTGACATGTTACTGCATTTATTACCAAATACTTACTTGTGAATATTTGTAATACGTATCATATTCACCTCAAAGTGAATTTGATACACCTATTACATATGCCCATTTTGCATCAAATGATGACCTCAAATTACACATATCAAGGAACAAATCATTGGCGAAAACCTATACATCAGTGTACTGTTACAGCCAAAGATGAGTTAGTAGAGGGAGAGGTATAAATGATTATGATACATGTGTGAGGATACAAATTATCAATAAAAGTATAATTGATGTATATCACATAATAATAACTCTGAACATTATTATGATTATAAGCACAGGACATGAGGTAGACATAGGTGATAATTCTATTGATATGTGCATTGGTAAGTCAATGTATAATTTCATGGCTGTTGACAAGGGTGGAGTTCTAACAATGAGTATGTAACTTAGTGATCTACTCGATGATGGCCTTACTAACTTCCGCTGAAGGGGTCGTTGTTGGCATAGGTACTCAAGGTACTACAGATGTGTACCCCAGGCCAAAATCAGAATGCAGAAACGTACCCTAGGATGAGTCCATTCCGCATTGTGCTGTTTTCTTGATTGGAGTGAGTGAGTGAGTGAGTTTAGTTTTATGGCACTTTAAGCAATATTCCAGTAATATCACAGGAGGGGACACCAGAAATGGGCTTCATACATTGTACCCATGTGGGGAATCAAACTCGGGTCTTCGGCGTGACGAGCAAACACTTTAACCACAAGGCTACCCCACCGCCTCCTTTCTTGATTGGAACTGTCATAATGTTGTATTATTTGCATTTGATTGCATTATTTATGAAGCGAGCATACTCTGTAACAAATATTTCATGATGCACAATAGCACTCAATCAGTTGAACATGAACAACTACATACAACTTGTTTGGTGTTAGACTCGTCCCATTTGAGGTTGACTTGGTTTGGGGAACATTTTAGGGAAATATTGCCGCCCGAAACTCCCGTTTTCTTACCATTCTATGCCTAAGATTTATAGTAAGAATAGATGTTTTTTTATAGAAAGCCCATCCTAACCCTAACCCTAACATAATGCTGAATCTAAACCCTAATCCCTTGAAATAATCATAATAATTAGAATACTTTTCAAGCGGGGGTTACGGGCGGAACTCTTACCCATTTTAGTATACAGAAACGTACCTGAGATACATATCTGTAGTACCTGTGCCGACAACGACCCCTTCAGCCTAACTACTAGACTATTTCTCAACATAGAAAAATAATACAGCAGGCTGGTTTCATTTGATTGGGTGACATTGATTTAAAATGATTATAATAAGTTACACGTTTGGTTAAAGTTAAAGTGCATTATACCTTGTGCTGTTATAATACTATGCACATCACTTGAGTAAATGCTCCAAGCCGATCGTATTAGACAGAGGTTCAACAACAACCACACTACAAGGATCACCAGAATTTGAAGCGCGATCGTATTTTCGTTGTCCAAGATGAGTTCCCTGAAGGACGTCACATAGGAACTTGGTATGAACGATTCCCCAAAACTAAGAAACCCGTCCGTGAGTTTACTGACAACGCCTGCCGACTCGGACATAACAAATAAGGCTAAATATGTTTAGTTTCTCTCAGTTTTCCTATTTGTCAGTCATTTCCTGTTCGAGTACCTTAATCCCGAAGTGAATATTAACAATGTACCCCTTTTAAAATCTAAAATATGCGTTATAATTTACTGGAGTTAAACATCCATTAAATAAATATTACCGACAAACAAATACTAAACAAAGTATTTTTGTATAATTTGGCACTTCATTCACTGCGTTACTTCAATATGGCAGCCTCCATGGTGAAAACATTAATGTCGATGTTATAAAGATAATTTGTAAGCAGTTACACTCCATTCCAGAATGTGGAACTGAAAGACAAAGACTACTTTATCAACTTTGATGTGGCAAAAAGTACAGGGTGAGGGATCTCCTGGAAAATTGATCAAAACAACTTCACAAGTGTCTGAAGTGAACATTTATAGCGTCTACAAAAGAATTCGTCAAATCAAAACACCACACCTATGTGTTTGTCACCTTGTTTTAAGCTTCCAACATATATTGTTGTCGTCTGATGCCAAAACGAACATTGCTTTTATATTGTCCAATGATCAAAGTGATTTTCATCGTCAATCTTTAATTTGATCTTGCAGATGAATCAAGTTCTCCACACTGGATGCAAAAACATGTTTTCACCATTTTTATTTTTTTCTTTAACATGGGTACTTCTTTTGAAGATTGTTGAAGTAAATTCAGTCGAGACTAAACTCCACCCATTGTTACACAATCACAGGCGTGGAAATAACATTAAACAGAGTCTAATGGAAATGGTTAGACCTGAACAAATACATATATCATTTGGTGAGAAAATAAATGACATGGTTATTATCTGGGCCTCAAAGAAAAAGATTGATGAGCCTTACATTGAATATGGCAGAGATGCAAATCTGAGAAAAGCAACTGCAGAGGCTACTCAGTTTGAGGAAGCGAATAAGGAAGGAACAAAATATTGGCACCGGGCGTATTTATCTGATTTGAAAGATGGTCAACAGTATTTCTACAGAGTCAACGCCGGTAGAGGTGCTGGAGGCGTCAGTGAACAACTTTCCTTTACTGTACCATCTCTCAAGAGGAATTCAATTCATTCTGTGATGATTCTTGCAGACATGGGAATATCCTCGAAAACATTGGATTTCTTAGTTCAAGAGGCTTTGAATGGTGGTTATGAAGCTGTGATACATATTGGAGATATAGCTAATGACTTGCACCGTGGAGAAGGTGTGGTTGGTGATAGATACCTTAAGCGAATTCAGAAAATGGCTGCCCAGGTTCCTTACATGACTTGTCCCGGAGACCAGGAGAAGTTCCAGCAATATGTCCACTACAGGTACCGGTTCTCCATGCCAGGCTCTTCATGGCCAATGTCTTACGAGAAACTCTGGTACAGCTATAACCTAGGAAGTGCTCACTTTGTTGTTATTAACACTGAAGTCCTTTGTGCTGAGAACCATGAACTAAAAGAAGCCCAGTTATCCTGGCTTAAAAATGATCTTTCAATCAACAATAAGGAGCAGAGACCCAAACATCCCTGGATTATCATGTTTGGCCACAAGCCAATGTATGCATCATGTAACAAAGAGGAGGAGGAATGTTTGAAAGAACAGCCAGCTCTTCGGAAAGAACTTGATGATATTCTTTTCCGCTATGGGGTAGATCTGTACATAGCTGGACATCAACACAACTATGAACGTACATGGCCGGTATACAGAGAAAGGCTGTTTGATGAATATCATTATAAAAACCCAAAAGGACCAATTCATCTGACCATTGGTTCCATGGGTGCTGAATATCACAAAGAAAAGTTTGTCAAGCCTGGGGGAAAGTGGTCATCTTACCGATACCCTGGGATAGAGAAGGAATTATTTGCTAAGCTTGACATCATCAATGCGTCTCATTTGTTCTGGGAGGTACTTTCTGCAAGCAACAATGAAAAAGTCGATAGGATATGGATTGTTCAGAAGAGCCATGGAACATTTGGTGAACCAGGGGAAGGGGTGTTCCAACGCATTAAAGAACTCAGAAATATTCCCATGCAGCCTCCCCTCCCTCCCGAAGACCACAGCAGGTATATGGCTAAGCTGACAAGGAAAAAGTTACGTTCCAGAAAGACCAGACAATATGGAGTCCAGTTTTCTGGGATCATTACATGTGCTGTGGCTGTGGTCATTGGATTAATGTCATGGAGGATGAGGAAGAAGATGTGGATGTTGTTCAGGATAGGCACAGGTGGGAAGTGAGAGAGGGTTTTCTGCATTCTGTTGAAACATGCCTTGGATTTTTCCAGTTCCACATAGACATTTTGGTACTAGGACTGTGAGAAGCGTCAGAGATACACAGACATGCAGGCAATGACACACCATTAACACACTGCAAACAGTGCCCAGCTGAGTTATCAACTCAAAGGTGTCGCCTTGAAATATTTACACAGATGTGGATTCATGTCGGCTTGTGACAATGTAGCACTAGAATTGATTTGTGTAGAACTGTATTGATCAAATGGCAGCCATTCTTCATGTACATCATTGTCGTCATCATCATCGGCATCATCATCATCGTCATTATCAACATATCATCATCATCATTATCATCATCATCAAACATGATTACTTGCAAGATGAACTGTTGATTGCATCTGTGTAAGACAAAACTCTGTGTCCGTGTTGTGAAGCTGCCCCTGTGTAAGAAAAAGCTTGGTTTTCATGTTATGAGGCTAATGGCTCATCTCTACCATGACAAAGACTTTGTTCATTTTGATTAGCCGATGACAGATTTTGTCAGCATGCTTATATATTCCACATTCAATTTTGTAAAGGTAATGGCGTTATGGCTTTGCTTTTTGCATATTGTACTCTTATCATGGTTATACCTTGTAACAATAATCTGAAAGTGTCTTTAACATGCTGAAGATTGTTAAAGAAATCAGTTTTGTTGTACAGACAATGCTTATGAAATTGTTACGAAATTGAGAACCAAACTCAACCTTTTTTGAGCCACTTTTGTGATGTCAAACTGAGACAAATCTTGGCACCATCTGTAAGATTGGTCAACCTTTATTCCTATTGATGTGACCAGAATAATAGATGTGTTGTCTTCCTTCAACCCGTCCAAAAATAGACATTTATTTGTAGGATGTCAGTAAACACATTGTTTCAGATGAAGGTAACAGCTGCTTTATCTTTTGTGAAGTGCAACAAGAGTACACCATTTCCCCAAATTACTGACAATACCATGATGGTTGTTAAGTTACGGTGAATCTTGAAGAATCTAACATATGTTATATTTGGGATTACACTATCTTAGTAAAGTACAGATTCTAGTACTTTTGTTGGGTTGACTCTAATCCGGGATTTGAACCCACACCCTCAAGAGTCAGGCACCTAATCACTCAAAGTTAAATGCCAAACCTGTTCAGCCACCATGGCTTCCACCAGGTGAGTTGGGTGTCTGACTTTGTACTAGAATAATGTACTAGAATCTGTACTTTACTAAGAAAGTGTAATCCCAAATATAACATATGTTACATTTGACCACTATCTAAATGGCATTGTGTATTCAATCTTGAGAAAGGTTCTCAGACTAACATTAAGTCACAATTTTATTTTTTGGTCTAACATTTATTACTATAAGAGTTATAATTAAACATTATAAGATCAATAACCAAGACAAATGTTAAATCAATAATAAGGCAATCAATCACAACTCCAGCCTAAGGAATGGAAACAATTCAGATTTACACTGTGTAATATGTATAGAGTACATTTCATATGTTTGACAATTACTAAGATAGCTTTCAACATGCCATATTAACAAAGTATTTACAGATTTGATTTTATGTGATGTTTATTGACACAAGATATATAAGAGAATATGGTTGTGAAGAGAGAACTATGTTTTTGTTTTGCAATTTAATTGATGCCCTCCTGATATTTGACTCGGTGAATCATTGCCATCTTGGTCCTGGTTGATGATGTCCTACTCTACTCAATTCAATTCAATTCAATTCAAAGTTTATTCTCATGAGTAATATACATGACATAGAGTAAAACAAATACATGTGCAAAACAATGAAACAAATACATACTACATTAACGGAGCGTACGCAAGCCCCATTTCACAAAAAGAGCAAGTTTAACAGGTATTGGTTTGTATGTGATAGCCATAAGTCAAATATATTTGTCCACAGTGGGATGTTTACAATAATATGCAGGGAGATATTTGTTTCGTAATTCGTTTAACTCATTGCATTCTAATATAAAGTGAAATTCATCCCCAATTTTACTCTTGCATGATGTACACAATCTATTTTCTTTATCAATTTTATGCCATCTGCCAGTTTCGATAGGGAGTCTGTGGTTACAAGTTCTAAGTTTTGTAGTATAAATACGTAAATCTAGTGGAAGTTGCAACAAATAAGTTTCAATATAAAGATTATCCTTAAACATATTGTAATATAGGCCTTTCGATGATTGTGATTTACTTTCTCTCCAAGTTTGTAGAAACTGATCAACGAGTACAGTTTTAACATTATTTACCAGCCAATGGGTACTCGGGGGATTCAGTGCATGATTCAATGATTCATCTCTAAGAAAATGAAAACCACTTGGAGACATGACAGTAAATCTCCACATTATGGCACTTAAGGCTTTGCATTGTAGTGAAACACACCTGCTGTATGTCGGACTTAATCTTTTACCGATAGGAAGCAGTGGAGCCAAGAATCCTAACTATTAGTCATCAAAGAAATAGCATTTTATATCAACGAAAAGTTATTTAATTACAACTGTTTATTGCTTGTGGGAATAACACATGAAAGATGTGCCACAAATTTCAATAACCATGCAGGGTTTTACACAGACTTTGACAAAAGAGAGTCATGGTGACCCTTAGTATTTATTTTTGTGACTCATTTTAAGTATTTGGGAGTCATTCAAATTTTAGCGTAATATTTATGTGTGTATATCAAAAAGCAAAGATTTTATTGTTTTGTGTTGTATTGTCATTTATATGTTAGACACTAAATAGTATATTTTTCATTGTTCAGTTCAGTCATAACAAACTCCAGTATACTGAACAAATAATCTGTATTGTGATTTATTCACTGTAACATACAGTTATTAACATGAATTGAAAGAAATATCTAAATCAATGAAGATCTCATGAAAACTATCATTGTTTGCTTATCAAATCGAATTTAGTGACTCTGAACTGAATTCTGAGTGTCACTCATAAAACTTGTGTCAAGCTTGACTCGTATGATAATATTTTGAGTCTTTTACAAAATTGTTGTGTCAAATACGCAGGAATCACACGTCATGTAAAACCCTGGCCATGTCATCATTTCAAAACAGTGCATGACAAATAACTATCAAATATAAATTCTTTGTGAATCAAACATTGATACTGTCCATCCTGTTACTGTCCCTCCAAATGTCAGACAGGAATTTGTAAGTAGGACTCCTTGTGACTTTATGAATAATTTTATTCAGATGTAAGCAATCTGCAGCAGTAGAAAAACATGGAGTCCAGTACCTGTGTTACAAAACTTGCCTACCTGTTTCAGTGTTTATGTGCCATACAATCCACATTTTGTCTTTTTTTATAAGCATCAATAATCTCCAGGGTGTACGTTCTGATAAATCTCCACTGTACCCTGGATGCATCAATGGCTCAGCCCGATAATTTTATTACCTCCCTTTGCTGGCTCCGCATTCTCATAGTAGCCAATCAGCTAAGCTGCCGTTTAGATAAAAGAAGACAAAGTGAGTTGTGATTGGTACAGTCTACTTCACAGCAGGACACCTGATTGGATAAAAAGCCAGCCAAGGGAGGTAATATAATCATGGGGCAGAGATGCATCCAGGGTATAGTGGAAATTTATCGGAACGTATACCCCGGTGATTATCGTGGATGATAAGCATCATGTTATTGAAAAAAGACACCATTACACTTTGTTTCTCTTCTATGTCTGATACCCATGTAAAATATTATGAAATTTTTACTTCCATCTAGATAAGATTCATGAAGAGTGTAAAAAAAATCATCAAAAAAGTGAATTGTTTGGAAGGTCATAGATGTAGAGGGTCATCATTGCAAAAAGAATCAAGTGATATCCTGAACACAAAAGACACGTAACCTGTGCCACAGGTTGTGTCGTCGTCCCATTTTATGTGTCAAAAGAGTCATTGTCATTCATTTTTCCATAATAAATGACAATTATTTTGGCATATTTAGATATGCAGTGGGGATATGTAATTACCTAATTCAGTAGTTTCAGCATAGCAAACTGGCATGAATTGCAAAGACAGTAATATTGTTGTCATGTTATCAGGTAAGATGTCATGAGAAGACATGGGAGTTTAATCATCTGGGTTTCACAATGTGTAGAACTCTATCCACTTGTTGCAGATTTATGAGATCATATTTTTCAGCCGGAAGTAGATGGATAGAAAATATTCGAATCAGGTACTTGTGTCTCAAAATCTGAACCATACTTGAGTATCTGAACTCAGCACCAATATGCCACACAACCCACAATGAATTCAGAGATACTCAGAGATGCCAACCCTTACGTTTTAGGCGTAATTATTACGATTTTGACCATTAAATTACGCCATTACACTTAATCTGCGAAAATTACGCTTTTCTACTCGTTTTACGATAATCAGGTGCAGGGGTGCAGAAATGGCCTTTCACCAATAGGAATCGCTTACTCTTAGCATCGCACTCATTCCAATTAACTTGCAAGGAATTAAAGTATTTTCAGTCACATGACCAACAATTTTTGATGTATGGAGCTTCATAATGATTGGTCACATGTGTTTCTGTCTAGAATCTTCCTTTCGTGAAAACGTGTAGCATGTTGAAGCGATCGTCAGACAAGTATTACACTTTTTAGGTCCAAATTACACAATTTGACCTCTAGTATTACACTTAGGCCCAAAATAGGGTTGGCTTCTCTGGATACTGTACTGTTGACTTGTCTGCAAGGCTTGTTGAAGAAGTGAAAATACAAGTTGTCCCCCTTGTTAAGCCTTGCCATGTAACTTAGTTTAGCTGACTGGCAGAGAACCATCAGGAAGTGACTGTCCATTTATGTCACTCAGTCATTGTTACTTTGCAAATAGTTTGTGTCAACCAAGGTTAAACAGAGATTTTGGTCTAAATTCACAACTATGTTGGTTCCACTTTACCATTGCATGTAGCATTTTTCATTGTAATGTACTATGCCTTCTGTCAA